ATGATGTCAATAAATTTTCATTACTTGCCGAAATATATTAGTTAACAATAATATTATTATAGTGTACAATCAATTAAATAGATCATTTTATATTTTAAGGCTAAAAAAGTGCATGTACTGAATAGTATTTACTACAAATAAAACAAATATAGGTGTAGCACACGATCGTTTATAAAGAAATATTTTGCTTTGCAAAATTTATAAAATACGAGTAAGATGTATTGTCTACAGCATGATGTACAGCATATATCACTCTTACATACTCCATAACGACACCGATTCATTCTTCCTTTTCGTACAGGTATCATCAGGTAACCTCAAAAATCATACGAACAAGTTGAATTTTGCCAAGGATGTCAATTTTGGACCTCAAAAAAATATGCAAAAAAGTTTACCACTCCTACTCCAATGCATTCTTGTGTAGAATGAACCGTTTCTCAGAAACAACGCTTCAAGTGACCTATGATGTTGAATGTCAGTTCGCACGCGAATTTACTTTTAAATAAAAGTTGTATGAACTCAACGGTTAAAATTCGATATCTTTTATAAGTCAGTTTTATAAAGGCGTTAAATAAATAAACGTTTCACAACCTTTATCACTTTCATTGACTGGTCACTATGAAATTTCCATTATTAGAGCCTAATCTTCAAAACCTATAGCTTGAAATTTTGGATTTGAGTTTTGGCTAGAATCGTGAGGCATTTGAAATATGCCTAAAAATGCTGAGTTAAACTTTCACATTACAAACGATCTAAAACTTTTAAAACTGCTTCTCTTCGATTACACAAATACGTTTTTCAAGATACACAATTTCAGCTACAAATTTCACCAATACCATCCTCGTAGACGTATTTTCTGATGACGTATGAAAGTTTAAAACCTGCCTTTTTTAGATACATTTCAAATGCCCCGTATTTGTTGCCAAAACTCAAAATCGAAATTTCATGTTATAGGTCTTGAAAATTATACTCTAATAATGAAATTCCACTCCGACTGTTAATGGAATAATAAATTTTATTGTTCTCATGAGAATCGTAAAAAATGACAAAAATTGTACAATGTTTATTTATTAAACAGATTTATAGAAACTGAAGTCATATGTAGCAAAATACAAACGTTACATACAAAAGCTACACTCTTTCCCTTTAAAACGCATTTTGATTTTTGTCGATAGACAGTCTGATTAAAAGATATCGAATTTTACCGTCGAGTTCATATAAATTTTATTTAAAATAATTTCGTCACTTCAAGCTTTGTTTCTGAGAGAACAGTTCGTGCTGACAAAGAGTGTTAATACACATTTTTGTTTATTAACACTGTTTTCCTTTTTAACTTCCTACAATGGGAGATTTAGGGGGAAACCGAAGGTCTTCTTCTTCTTCTCGATGTGCCTATCCGTTACGAGTGTTGGAGATCATCATGGCAATCTTTATCTTATCTGCAACAGCGCGGCAAAACTACACAGATGTTGTATTGAACCAGATTCTAAGATCTTTAACCAAGATGTTTTTCTTCTCATGGACCTCGTTTTCCAAATATTTTTCCTTAAGGATGACTCAGGATGACTTGAAGGAGAGCATATCTGGATTCATTTCGCATAATATGTCCGAAGAACTGTAACTTTCGAGATTTGATGGTGGTCAGTACCTCTCGGTTCTTATTCATTCTTCTGAGGACCTCCTCATTTGTGACTCGGTCAGTCCACGGGATCTTAAGTATTCTCCGATATAGCCACATCTCAAATGCTTCCAGTTTTCTGCACATATCTTCGTTCAAGGTCCACGATTCAACACCATAAAAAAGGACAGAGAAGACGTAGCATCGCAGCATTCTTACTTTTGTATCAAGAGAGAGGTTGTGACTCTTGAAGAAGGCCCCATCCGATTGAAGGTGGATCTAGCTTTTCCGATGCGTGCTCTAATCTCCTGGTTGTTGGTCCATTCTTCATTTATTATGGTGCCGAGGTAGTTGTAGTGCGTCACTCTTTCTACAGGGGATTGGTTGACGTAGAGTTGACCTTCTGTTATCCTTTTCTTGCTAATTATCATAAGCTTTGTCTTCTTAACGTTTATATTGAGTCCATATTGTTGACTGTAATACGTGATTTTGTTCATAAGAACTTGTAGGTCTTCTAAGTTGTCCGCAAATACTATGGTGTCATCTGCATATCTGATGTTGTTTAGCCGGTAACCATTTAGTAGAATACCTTTTTCAGTTTCGTGCAAAGCTTCGATAAATATTCTTTCAGAGTACAGATTGAAGATTAGAGGAGACAAAATACAGCCTTGCCTCACTCCACGCATGATTTTCACATAGTCAGTGTGTTCACCTTCAACTCTGAGATTTGCTGTCTGATTCCAGTAAAGATTTCTAATTATTTTCAGATCTTGGTTGTTAATTCCTGCTTCTTTTAGTATTTGCATCATCTTGGCGTGCTGTACTCGATCAAACGCTTTCTCGTAATCAACCAGACATGCGTATACGTCGCAGTTGACGTCTCTGCATCTCTGGAATAAGACTTGTACTGAGAACAAAGCCTCTCTAGTACCAACAGCATTTGTGAACCCGAACTGGTTGGGGAAATTTGACTTTCACACAGCTTGTAGATTCTCTTATAAATTATTTTTAGGAACAATTTTAGAAGATAGCTCATGAGGCTTATAGTACGGTAATCTTGCATTTTTGACTCCTGCTTTTTTTGGAAGTGCACCAAACTCAGATTTCAGCCATTCTGTTGGTATTTCTCGTAGCCGGGGAAGAAGTGGTTAACTTTTTTTTTTTTTTTTTTGGAAGTGCACTAAACTCAGATGTCAGTCATTCTGTTGGTATTTCTCGTAGCCCGGGGAAGGAGTGGTTAACTTTTGTAGATATTTTTTGAGGTCCCAAAATTGACATTTTCAGCAAAATTCAGCTTGTTCGTATAATTTTTAGAGGTCAAACCCTCTTAATAATCGATTGACTTTACTTTATTCTTTATTTTTAAATTTTTTGTAACAATTAAACTTTCTTTAGTATTATTTTTTATCTTAATTATGTGTTCACAAGTACTTTATTGTTATTTATATTACTAAACTAACCCAACATGCTTGTTTAAAAAAACCGAAAAAATGGCTGATACCAATTTGCGATGAAAAGGTCTATAGTGAGAGCTAGAAATTTTTGTTTTGTACGTTTCCAATAATGAATCTGTCAAAATACACCTTATTTAATAGGTGAAATCTATTTGGTTCATATGGATCTATGTGGTTCATCCGTAAGTTAATTGTCCTTTCAGTAGGATCTATTTAACAAAGTGGATTAGTGGCCTTTAGTAACACTTCTACGAAGTCGTAGGGCTCCAGTTGATATTGCTCAAATCAAAGCCTCATCCCTGGAAGTTGCTAAGAAAGAGTGACGCCATCTCGTTCTCAGCCTGACCTGTAATCCGCATTTTCTGGCAGTGACCCTTGAGATGACAGTGTGCTGGTGGAGACCGACGATAACCTATTAGGAAACGTACGATAGATGTATTCATATCTAGTAGATCTTTCGATCCTTTCTTAGAAAGGGTTTGGAGACTATAATATATAAAACTGACAGACAAGGGCATAAAATAAACGGAGAAAAGCTTAGCCACCTGAGGTTTTTAGATGATATTGTGCTAATAACTTTTAAATCAGCTCTTTCCTCGCTAGAAGGGAGATTGAAAACAAAAATACCTAAAATCCAGATGAGACAGCGAAGATATGTGTAGGGACAAGACTATAGATACTTGGGTCAGCACATTCGCATATTAAAAGATAACCAAACCGTTGAGCTTCTTTGTCGTCTTAGACCGACTTGGCTGCTTGGCAAGTTGAGCACATTTTCAAATCGTCCTATATACCATATGTCTTAAAAGAAAAACATAATAACATAACAACATAAACAACAAATAGTTTAATAATTTATTTAAATACACCTAAATGTTCAAAATTTTATGCTTGCTAATTAAAAAAAAAGTTAAATGTAACACAAAACATTAACTTTACAACGTCTGTCCAAATTGTATACGTGAAATAAACTTACTCTTGCAGACTTCTTTAAATAAAAGAGAAGAATCACCTTAAATAATAATCGGGGTGATCTTAATCTAAATTTTTTGTTTTGCTTCTTTCGATCTGTCTATATCTACTAATTAATCTGCAAACGACAAAAATATTTGAAAAATAAAGATGTGTAGCTATCTACCTTTATTTTAATTAATTCAGTTGTATGTTGTTCATAAACTGCATGTGAACCATTTTTCAATTTAAGTTAGAATTCATATTATAGAGTTTATAATTCTCTACCAATACAAAATAAAGTGTAGTGTCCGCACTGTTGTTTATAGATTTTGAAATACTTGGGCAATTTAGCTGCACATACAGTAGATCGTGTAAAGCATATTATAGGTATAATATTTCTGTGTCTTTGTCTGGAAGTTGTAATTCAGTAGAATTAATTAGAGCAGGATTAGATAAAATAAAAATAGGCAGGTTAATACATAACCTGCGTCAGGAGAGAACACCTGAAGACAAAAAGGCAGGAACCTAATTAAAAAAAATAAAGGGTTAAAATTGTTGAAAACAATAAAAATAATCCTATTTATTCTAAGATGACGCAGTTATTTTAAAAACGTTTATTTAAAAAATACTAACAAAACATTTATATAGAATGCATTAACTATATTGTCTTACTTAAAAAATTATTACAAATGCCAATAAAGTGCAACAATGAGACACACGGAATCAATAGAAACTCTGCCAAATGTTGATGCGTAAGTCAACGTCCTTTGTCAGCTCTCGCAACCGATAACTCGCATGATGTGGCAACACCGACCTACTTCAGCTGTTCAACGCTGTTACTAGGGTACAGAATCAGCTGATATCATTCAGCGTTTAACTGGGCATCCAATCAGCTGTGTCTGGGCATCCCCCACCCCTCGCTCATATCTCCATGGCCTCCTACCGCTAGCCGGTTTTCATTTTCTGCTGTTTTACTTCAACACTAACCGACTGACGTTACGTTCGCGCTACGGCGCTACAAACAACATTAGTTTATAGTTGATAGCTTAGTTTTAAGACATAAACAATGAATTGTGAACTTTAGTAATTAAAGATCGATCATTTCGGAATATTTTTCTTATCAATTTTTTTCTCTGACACATATCTTGGTGAGTGACAATAGTTTTCTAGCGACCGGCGAATTTTAAGTGTCAGTTCTTTCCCTTGTTCAAGTGATTTTTCTGTTTTTCAAAATTCCGGTTGCAAACAGGAGCCTCGAAGTGGTCCGGGAAGGTACCACAATGGGGCAAATACCGCAAAATGTAAGTATTTACATACATTACTATAAAAAACATAAACAAACATACTCTTTGTAATCGTATCTTGTTTATTATTCTTTCCAAAAACTGGTTTTTCGACAAGAAATTGACGTTTACCGGTACCCGAGCGGCATTCAGTTAATGGCCCTTTGTTCTTGTTCTTTGTATACAGCTGAGACCCAGCTGAGGTGTGGTCATATGTCAAATGCATCCCTTGATTTATATTTAACATTCGCTTACAATATTAGTCTGCAACATAACAGTGTCTTTTAGTACTTTTGTAAATTTTCTACAAGAAATTCAAACGTTAGTCGGGGATGAAGCTCGTTTATTGATTTTCGAAATCCGCTGTTACTGGAAGTGCTTTCCCTTTCACTTTACAGGATTTTGTGTATATCTGAAATTAGATTTTTTATTTACTGGTAGTTTGAAAAGAGTAAACTGAGATTTAATCAGTTAGTATTGAGCATCTAATTGTGTTATAAAAGATTTGTTTGTCAAATGTTTATGGGTACGATAATTTTTATATCCAAATAATATATTTAAATACTTATTGTGTAAATTACATTTTTATAGCTATTGTCATTAAATTTAACCGACAGTGATATTTACTTTAGCCTACCATGCAACAATTGACTCACACAACACATTTCAGGATAGCTAATTCGAAAGTAAATTATTTTCAATATGACTAGGCATATAATATATTATAACACAAATCTAAAGAACACACTTCGTGGAGAAAAGTAATATTTTAAGATATAAATTTATCATCACCGGATGAAAATCAGTGAGTTAGCTAATTTATGAAACAAGTCTTCTTGTTCTTAACATGTCATCCCAATTACGGAGTTTGTCATTTATCATGACCACTCTAACTTTCGAGGTAGCTGTTTTAAAGAACTGTTTTGAGTTTACACAACCTTCTCTTAGGTTCCTCTGACAAGATATTTGTCTTCGTTCCACACTCTGTCCTCTATTTTACCTTGAATTATATGCTGTATTTTTCTCCATGTATTATGTCCGAGACCTTGCACTTCTTTTTTTTATTATTTTAACTCCATTGTATATGACACAGTATTCTTAACTTTTAGTCAATTCTATTGTAAGGTTTAATGTCAAATCTCTGCTACAAAGGACCGTTTTTGTTTTTATAAAGTTTGCACGCCCTTTTCAATTCTTACTTTTATTTCGGCTGCATACTCGTTAGTTTACTGCTCTCACGAACGCCTAATTCCTTACATTTACCTTTTACGATCGTCTGGCCTGCTACCATTAGGGTTCTGTTAGTATTGTGCTTACTAATTTTATGATCTTGGCACTTTTGATGTTAAAGGAAGAGTCAATATTCTTGACTGCAACAATATTTTATTCTTTTTATATCTATATTATCGGCTATTATAATAATTTGTCAGGATGCTTTATCCTTGCTGTTTCTGATTCTAATAGTTTCTAATACGATTTCCTCGGAGTAAGCGTTTGTCTGATTATCCTCATTACTCCTACTATAAATATTTCACGCCCAATTTTTGCTGTTGTTTACTGTTCACTGTAGAAGAGGTTTGATCTTAATCTCGTGTCATTCAGAAGTTTGGATCTAAGAATTTCCATCAGTTTACCATATTTAATTGTATTGCAGGTTCTCCTGTACCCACACATTGTTATGGAAACCATATATTATTCTTTCATCAGTGACATCACAGCTCGTTGTGAGCCAAAACCTTCTTCAAAATAATCTTCCATTCGCCCTCTCTCTATCAACTCTTCTCCATGCTCTAAATCCAATAGATTTTAAATCATTTTCTAGGTTGTCTTGATACCTAAGTTTGTCTTCTGCTTGTCCCATCGGCCTCTTCTGTCAATAATCTTTGTAACTTCTTGTAACACCTTCTTTCCGCCTGTTTACATGCTCTTCTACTACCTTAATGAATTTTATAACGTTGAGACTACTTTTTCTGTAGAATAAACCGTTCTATCAGATATCTTTTGATCAGAGTGTCCTATCGACTAAAATCAACATGAATTTTAGATGCGAAGAGTGCAACTTTCGAACGCAATTTTTGGATTTTGTCCAAATATGTCCAAAATGTTCTGTTAAATAAATAAACGTGTACGATTTTTGCCATTATTCTTGAGATCAAAAAATATCATTCCATGACGTCACTAAGGAATTTCCATTGCTATAGCTTAATCTTCAAATCCTATAACATGACATTTAGCTTTTAGTTTTGTCTACAAATATGAGGCATTTGAAATATGCCGAAAAAACGCTGAATTTAAACTTTTACATTACAAACCAAAAAAGATGTTTAGTTTTTCAAAACGACACATCTTCAGCTACAAATTCCACCGAATACCGTCTTCGTCGAAACATTTCCCGTGACGTAAGATCCTTTGTATAATGTGAAGGTTTAATTAAATTCAGCGTTTTTTTCTAACTTCTTGCTGTGTATTTTTTACTCTCCCTAATTATTTTTGCACTATTGACTCATTGTACTTTTCATTTTCTTGTTTCTGCTTTGATTTGTTTATTAAAAATATTTAGTATTAATAGATATTCTCTATACAGCATTCGTTACAATAATTTGAATAATGCTTATTGGGAATAAAATCTTTCACAATTATACACATGTTCCATATTCTTACATAATTTTTTATTTGAACAGCATAAATGTCAGTTTGTGATAATTTATTGGTACTTACTCAAAAATGATCTTGAAAATGAGGCTTTCCGAGCAATATCTTCTGCATGTGTGAAGTGTCTCATTAAATATGCACAAATTGCCAAATATATAATCCATAAAACTGAAGGCAGCGGTTTCAATAATCGTAAATTATTACATGCTAAGTGTTACATGTGGTACAAAAAAGCACTTCATTTAGAGGACGGTTGTTGTCAGTCTACACTGGTGGCACTGAGTTCCTTAAAAAAAATTAAATGTGTATTTTTTTGTGTAGGATTTTTGAATATAAAAAGTACATACCGTCCTTAATATTATTCGTTCTTACTTAGCAAGTATTCAATATCAAGTGTTTTAAATATTGGTATCTTCTTATGCGTTTGAGTATCTTGTTTCTGAACCAACATTTTGGGTATGATTGTCTTTTTACTCCAAATGTCTGTCTGCTAAACACAGAGGAAACTTTTTTAAGGAAAAAATTCGTTAGTATTACATATTAAACGTCATTATTCAGATATCCAAAACTGTGGAAGTATGTTTTTGAACAATATCCATGGAGAGATCGAGCCGAAACAGGATAAAAAAAATGAAAGGCTACGTGAATCTAACAGTCAACAGTCTAATCTATAATAATACATTTAAATCAAACAACTACATATAATGGTATGGTCATATCAAAAGAATGACGGATTAGAGAATATCTGGATTTAACGAATCACGTCGGAAATCGGATTTGTGCTAAACTGATGCAACTTCTGCTGTCTGCTCCTCTAAGTTAGGTTAGGTTTAATGTGATTGGACACATAAGAACCCTTTCACTCAACTTAAGAGACTTATTGTGATTCATCCGTAGGTTAAAATTGTCCATTCGGTCCAGCCTATTTAATAAAGTAGATTATGGCTTTTGGTGACACTTCTACGAAGGCATAAGGCTCGAGTTGATATTTCTCAAATGTATTGAGCCTTATCCTATCCATCCCTGGGAAGTTGTAAAGAAAGAGTGGCGGTTCTGGCAGTGACCCTTGAGATGACAGTCTCCTGTTAGCGATAACCTATTAGGAGACCTACGATAGATGTATTCATATCTAGTCGATATTTGGATCCTTTCTTAGAAAGGTTCTGAGACGATACAATTCGATAGAAATGCCTAGAGTAATAGAAAAAACAAAAGCTTGAAAGTCAGACAGAACATGTTCATTGGAAGAAAAAACGCTATAGAGAGTTTATATTTATAGCCTATAACTATACAAAGAAGAGCAATATATTCGGAGAGGATCAGGTATCTGAAATTTTACCGAACATAAAACCCAATGAAGCTCGAAGGTAAGTGCAAGATATAAAAAACAATACAAGCCCCCAGAGACGACAAAATCGTGGCAGATACCTTGAAAGTGGCTGGAAAACGATTATGGCAGGTCCTTGCCAAACTATTCACTAGATGTCTGCAGGAAGCAGTAACATTAACTCAGTGGCATAACGCAGAAATTATCCTACTTCATAAAAAAGGTGATGCTACCGACCTCAGAAACTACTGGCCCATATCTATAAACTATTTGCAAAAATAATTACGAAACGATTAAGAAATAAATTGGAATTTTACCGAATACAATAAACCACTAGCTTTAATATTTGTTGATTATGAAAACACCTTTTTCACCATAAATCAACACAAAATGTTGGAAACCTTGATAGAATGCCGAATTGACTATCGTTATATAAATATATAATACAACAATTATAACTAAAAACACATATACCAAAAAACAGCAGCTAGTGTTAGACTGGGTGATCGTCAAATTCAGAAATTCCTGATACATAGTGGAGTACGTCAGGGGGATACCATACCACCAAAACTGTTCGCTACGCTTTTGGAATATAACTGACAAAACTGACCGACAAAGGCATAAACATAAACGGAGAAAAGCTTAGCTACCTGAGGTTCTCATATGATATTGTGCTAATAGCTGATAAGATAGATGATGTCAAAGAACTTTAAAACCCAGATGATGACAAACCTTGTAGGCAGCGAAGATATGCGTAGGAGCAAGCCTATAAATACTTAGGTCAGGACATTCGCATAGGAAAAGATAACCAAACCGTTGAGCTTCCCCGTCTTCTAAGACCGACTTAGCAGCCAGCCTTCGGCAAGTTGAACCACATTTTTAAATCGTCCGATCTACCGCTAAGTCTTACAAGAAAACCTTGTAAGCAAATCGTTAAATAATTAGGTAAAATATACCAATGTTCAAAATCCTATGCTTGTCCAAATTTTTGAAAAAAGTTAAATAACAGAAAACATTAACTTTACAAGTCTGTCCAAATTGTATGCGTGATCTAAGAATATAATAATGTACAGGGTTTTTCAGTAAAAATAACAAAGTTCGCGACTGTTTGTAGTAAACCTTTCAAATGTATTTTTATAGTCCAAATTTTTTGATCACTCAATCAAGGAAGCGTTGTTCGATTTTGAATCATTCTATACAAAAATTATTTACACGTAATCATCGTTATCATTTTAATAAGTGATTAATAACATCTTTTATAAATTTGACAAACGACCAGTACTGTTTTTCTTAATAATTTATTCACATTAAGATAAAAAAATCAGCCGCACGTTTAAAATAATGTTCACAAGTAGTGGTATCGTGATACTGTGATAAAATGATTCAAGTCGAACTGTCTAATAAGCTCTGTCCTTGATACATATACATTACACTGTTTAAATTAGAACACAGACATTCAGTGGTGGACGTCAATTCAAAGTTTTATCTGCTTTTATCTTTATTATCAGTCATTTTCGAGAATCATCTTTAATTTTTTGAGTATTTACCTACTGTCTACATTTTTTACAACGTGCGTTTACCATAATATACAAGGAACGTATAATATTTCAGAGAGATTTTATTTACCAATCATAATTTTTGGTATATTTCCTCCCTATCTTTTCTATTGGCCTTAATTCTGATATCTTATTTAACCGTCCATGTTCTGCAAGTCTGTCATATCCTTACAATCTTCTTTTTATCATAGAATCGTCGTTCATTTGCTTCCTATTATATTTATTTCGTATTGTTAACAAGTATGTCATTAATAATAAGTAAAGACTTAGCAGTGACGGTATAGAGTATTATTTTAAAAAGTTGCAAGAGTTTTAGTTTGCAGGGTTACTCTAATAAATATGGGCAAAGAAAGTAAAGAAGCTGAAAAGTGTATTACTAGAAAACGTTTAGTTAGGAAATCTTCATAAATTATTGAAAGTAAAAACCATCTGCGGTTTTTGATTTTAAATCATCACCATCAAAAAAGTCATCGGCCGACTGTGCATTTCTGGCATCGAAACCTGGTGTATAAATAAATATGCAGAGATTATGTTGAACAGGTTAGAATGGAGTGTGTTAAGAAAAAGCTATGGGGTAGTTGAAGCAGAGAATAACGATTGGAGGAGAGAAATAACTGCAGAAGTTGAAGAGTTGTATGGAAAACCAGAAATTAACCAGCTCGTTAGATCAAGAACACTTACTTAGGTTACCTGGTAGATGGAAAATTGGCTAAGGAGTCATTTACGAGAGACGAAGTAAACAAAAAAAATTGGTGTGAAGCATTGAAGTTATCTTTATTCTTCTTCTTCTTCAGCCTTAAGTAATCCAACTTTGGACATAGGCCTCCCCCAAATCAATCCAGTGTCTTCTATTTTGCGCCACTTGCTTCCAGTTGTGTCCTCTAATCTTCTTAATATCATCCGCCCATCTCATTTGTGGTCTTCCTCTGCTTCTCTTCCCTAACCATGGTCTCCATTGTTGTATTTCGTGGGTCCATTTCTTATCCTTCAGTCGGCATTGTGTCCTGCGAAGCTCCATTTTAATTTGGCAGCATGTTCCCCTGCGTCTTTTACTTTCGTTTTGCTTCTAATCCGTTTGTTTGTTTTTTTGTCTATAAGTCTTACCCCAAGCATGGACCTTTCCGTCGCTCTTTGTGCTTTTACTATTTTATCCATGTTAGACTTGGTGAGTGTTCACGTCTGTGAGCCATACGTGAGTATAGGGAGGATACACTGATCGTAAATTCTGGTTTTCAAATATTGTTCGATTTTAGTGCTTTTCAAGAGCCAACTCAGTTTTCCAAATCCTGCCCACGTTAATCTTATTCTTCTGGTAATTTCGGCAGTTTGATCTTCTTTGTTAACTTTCATTATCTGTCCCAGGTAGATGTATTCGCTTACTGTTTCTAAATTTATGTCGTTCAACGTTATTTCTCTAATGTTCGGTGTATTTGTCATTATTTTTGTTTTTTTTAAGTTCATCTTAAGACGTACTTTTTCCGAAGCTTGAAATAGTTGCGTCATCATGGTCTGTAGTTCTTCGAAACTTGTAGCGAATATTACAATGTCATCAGCGTATCTTAAATGACTCAATTTTCTTCCATTAACATGTATTCCTTTATCTGCCCAGTTAATGTCTTTGAACCCGTCTTCCAGTCCAAGTGTGAATAGCTTTGGTGAGACACCATCTCCCTGGCGAACTCCTCTGTTGATTGGTATAACTTTGGTTTTCTCATCTATTTGTATTTTCATTGTAGCTTTCTTGTAAATATTATGTATGAGCATTCTGTATCGGGAGTCTATCTTGCAGTTGTTAACAGCTCTCTCTATTGCCCAAAGTTCTATGGAGTCGAATGCCTTTTCATAATCAACAAAGCCAATGTATAAGTATAAGTGATTAACCCTTTCGGAATCCTGCCTGCTCTACCGGTTGATAGCTATCGAGCTTCGACGTTGAACTGTTAGTTATTACTCTCATAAACAGTTTGTACATTTGGTACAGCAGGGAGATTGGCCTATAGTTCTTCAGATCTCCCTGTCTACCTTTTTGAAGAGAAGTATTGTCAAACTTTCATTCCAATCAACTGGGACTTCTCCTCTGTGAAGGCATTTGTTGAAAAAAAGTTTCAATTCTTCGAGAATAATTTCACTCCCCTCCTTCAACATTTCTACAAGTATTCTATCTGGACCCGGAGCCTTATTGTTCTTTAGTTGTGCCATAGCTTGTTTTAGTTCGAAGAATTCTATGTTTGGGAGTATTTCTGAGTTGACATTCGTTATCTTTCTCTTAAGATCTTCCTTTGCAGTGTTATCTGGATTATCTGGGAAATCTCTACTACAAATGGGAATAAGACAAATCTAAAACTATGCAGCTTTCAAGGCCTATTCTGCAGTTTATGTGTAATATGCAGACGATATAGTAAGATTGCGTAATAATGTAGAAGATTTACAAAATCTACATAATAACCTACGATGTTAAAAAACATTAGCAGGAACATCTCGTATAATTTATGACTATGCGTATTTCCCGAAATGTTAACAACACCTTAGAGTTGTAAATCATTGATGATACCTGCCAAAACAAAAAAAATTCGAAATTTATAACCCCTTAAGGTGCTTAACCTTGAACGCCACCATAAATATCGTTGTAAATGTTTTTTGTAATTAGCTCATTTGCAGTTAAGTTTGTTTTTTTTTAGGTAAACAAATATCCGGTTTTACCTAATCTTTGATACTGCTTAAGTGACATATTTCGTAAAAGTTAAAGTAGGTAGAAATTACCGAATTAGTTTAATTACTTATTATTATCTTGTTTGTTACACAAAATTAAGTGGTCATTTGTATCATCAGGTAACTGACAATGGTACATAAAGTTTTTAAGTAATGATACATGTACGTATACATGTAGATTTGAAGTGGAGACATCGCAATGAGACGTATTAGAACCACATTGTTTTCTTGATGCGTTTTTATATTCAGCTGTTTTAATTTTTCCAATTTAGCAATATTTTGTATAAGTTACTTTTTCTTTCCTATTGTTGTTTGTATTTACTACTTTTTATCTTAATTCGGGAATATTTTAGTCACTGATTACATTCAATTGCACTCTTTATTAATATAAGGCAAACTAGTTACACGAATTAAGGAAGAATATGAGCCATGCGCTACAAACGTGACAAAATTTGTACAAGGATCAATTTAATCAGACGTAATTGCTGCCGTTATCGAAATTTTCCACATGTATGGTCAAGAAGATAAGAGTTTTTAAGACAACCTGCTCTGAATATTTACGGCGGGTGAGATGGTCTCGATCATTATGCTGTATTAGCGTGACTGGAATAATTGACAAATATGTGTTTATTTTATTTTTTTGTTTTAAATTATTATAATAGTTTTATTTATTTGTGAATAAGTTTATCAGTATTGTTCTGAAGCTATTGTCTTGTGGCATTGTAAATTAATTGCTATTTAACTGGGAATAAGCCACAATTAAAGATAAAAATACGTTTATTGACGTTTCAATTTCCACTTCGGAAATCGTTCTCAAAATACAAACAGTAAATTAAACAAATTTTGTTTTTTGTTACATAGTGAAAAATTCTTCTAATAATTTAATTTTATCTGACTCATTTATATTGACAATTCAGACATACATTATGCATTTTAAAGTAGACGACTTTAAAATGATATTGCCAATATTGTTGAGTTGCACTCCTGGGACGACTTTACTTATAAGATAGTTCATTCGATTACATGAAACCAACTTTAATTTGAGAATATCCGTCAGAAAAAAATCGTAGCATGTAATTCGTCTTTAAAAAGACAAACAATGACATTATGACAGTAAAATTCCTGTTAGTGATTCCATAGTAAATTATGAGGGAAAAAACCAGGAAAAAAACCTCATAATACTATCCCGACATTGTAAGTATTTGTTCGTGAATTTAGTTTACCTTCAACAAACATCAAAATTCTGATTTTATATGTTACGTTATTTAAAAAACATAAATGATGTATCGTCTATATGTTACTGACTTACTAATACTGGTATTTTCTTATTAATAACTTCCTCTTTCAATATTGGTAACCAGATTCTGCCGAGGAATTTGCGACACAATTGGCCTCATTTAGCATAATTAGAGCCGCTTCTTTATTATCAATTATTATTATCAATTATTCCATTGAACCCTATGTTCATTATCCCATGCGTGTTTACATATTTGAGATCTATCAAATTCTCTATTTTTAATATAATTGCTGTTCACTTATTCTAACATTTAATGGCTTGATGATTCACCTAAATAAAACTGATCGCATTCACAAGGTATTTTATAAATGCAATTCTTTGTCCTTTCTTGTTCATTGTTAGGTTTGGTTTTGGACAAAATAGATCTCAACGTGTTTGTTGTTTTGAAATGTTGTTGAAATGTTGAATTTATTCCCTATCCTTTTAAGTTTTTTATTTATTTATTTATTTCCGTACATAAAAGGATTATCAGAAAAACTTTATAATTTATATAATTCTGATTTATAACTGTGTCAACTGATTTGAATGAAAAGCTTCCTTGAAGAAAATTTCATAAACTCGGTTATGCCGTTTCGAAGGAGGGTGGCAACTAACTCTGTAGTACAAATGAGTACAGTAATAATACAGTAGTGTGACAGTAATATCTCTGTCACACTAATCTCGCTATTAAAACTTAAGAAGGGTGATAATTAAGGGTTGTATGTATTGTTTAATGCCACATCATAAAAAAATATAAAACAAAAAATTTTGTCACAAAAATATAAAAAAAATGTTTGGGGTGGACCAACCTTAGGGGTATGAAAAATACATCTGGAAAGGTTTTCATACCCATGTGTAAAATTTCGTATAAATCGGTCCAGCCATTTCCAAGCCAACTAACTCTGTGACACGAATAGGGCTATTAAGAGATTAGAGTTTGTAATCGAGGGATGAGGGATGAAAATTAAGGTTTGTATATATTTTTTAATGTCAAAAATTTTGGCTAGATAAAATAGCAAGTGCTAGATATAGCTGAACTCGTATTGAAGTGGAGATTCCAATATTAATATAATATGTATATAGACCGTTGTATTTGAAAAACCAAAAAGACTACTGATATCAATTCGAATCCTTATTAAGGGGCTACAGCATTCATTTTTATTACCTGTTGGTATATAGCCTATGCTGGGCCTCCTACGTATTTTGAGTCATAAAATTTTTAAAAAGTTACTTTTTGATTTTTGGATTCAAAATATTTTTTTATAGATAAATCATATTCCTAAATTGTATGTTTTAAATAAGAATTATGTCATCGACGAATATAAAATGATATTTATATTGCTTATTATTATTACCAAGTTTGTTTTTATTTGTGTAGATATAATTTTCTATTGTTTTTTTGAAACCGTCGCTCTGAATACAAAAATAAGCTTAAAATATGCACTATATAGGTATTTAATCAATGCAGACATTCATCAGTTAAATGAAAGTAGACTCGTAATAAATTACAAGTTTGTGGCTTTAAAACTATTTTCAAAATGGTTTTTATAATAATTTTTGAGGTTATGTAGTCAAATAAACTATCGTCTAATAAAGTTGTACCAAGAACGCCATCGTAAACAATACTACGTACAGTACCATTTTAAAGTCATCTGCTTTAAAATGTATATGTGTCTGACAGAGAGAGGAAGATATTGGTAAAAAATATAGAAATTGAAAAGTTTCTGATACCTAATGCTTGCTCTACATTTAATTTTTGACCATGCACTTCTCGGAAGTAATTGATGCAATGGTGTGTTACGGAGTAGGGTAAGAACAACTATTATATTTTTACATATTACTCATTGCTAAGTGCTACTAGCAATAAAATAAATATTGTAAATGCAAATACTGGTTCATTGTTAACCAGTAGATGGCGTTTTACCCACGGGTACCGCCTTGGTGGGTATAACGAGACAAGAGTAGAGCGGAATTTAGTCTAGCCTGCATAATGGGGTGAGACAACTACTTTGATTAGATGTAAAAATATTCCAATTAAGCAGGGTTCTCCACTCGACTGATTCCAGGACATTTTTACCAACATTTCCTACGGAAATGAAATGTTTTCGATCCAGTTGCTACATATATTCTTATAAATAGCTACTAATTTTCTCATTTGATATGCAAATGGACTTTTGCTAATGCCGAACACATATTAATTATATGCTGGCACAAAAACTGCTTCGTGCGGGTATTGAATAAGAACAATTTATTGTTTTGTTTGTTATTGTAAAGCTGAAACCGGTTCTAACGCATAAAAAAATCGGTAATGAGTCATTGAGATATGCCTAATGATTTTGAATAATAATACTTGAAATAATGGCCGGCGGTGCGTATTAATTCTAATCTACTAAATCTGATTTCGAGGCGAGGAGAAAAAAAGTTGATGCTTAAATTATGAAATTGTTTTAACGCTTAAACCGTTCCCAACTGGAATTCTTTATTTTGCATATATCAGTGTCGACCTACGCAGCGATTTGACTTTAGTCTTTAACACCAAAGCTATTTGAAAAACTCTTACTCAAGAGACTTAAAGCAATTATTGAAGTTCTTCCGACACTTTCATTTCGAAATCATACACTTCACAATTCATCAGGTGCTTGCAATATGGTATACGAGGTAAAAAATATACCGATAAGTAATATAGAAATTTCGATTCACTATACTTAGATAACCTAAGAAGCATTTGCAAATACGCAAGATTGTATCGCAATCTTTTTTGATATTAATAAAGCTTATGATACTGTCTCGCGATTCAATATCATATTAAAAATTGCATAATTGG